AGCAGATGCTTTTCCTAGGATAAGTCTGCTCCCCCTGAAGACTTTCCAATTTTTTTAAATAAATTTGCTGTTATTTTAATAAGGACAGAAAAATCCTTCTCTGTAAAAAGTCTACAGAGGGGAATGAGAAAAGCCTATAAACATTTTTGAAGGATACATTAAACAAATTAGATACATAGATCAGCTTTCTGGAAAGGAAAAGTGTTTGCTTGCTTCTCTTCATTTTTCATTCTCTTTTTACCCAGAAAGCTTTGATCATGACAAACTGAATCCAGTTGGATCAGCAGAAAGAAATGAGTCATTAATACATTTAAATCTTGAGGAAATTCTTCAGGCTTCAAAGATAATATTATAGTTTTTGGCAGTGAATGCTTTTGTATTGGCTATTACTTGTTTATCATTCAAAATTGCTAATTTTGATACATCTTAATCAGATTGCTTTGGATACTTGGTAATCAGATCACCAGGTATTGTTCAGCAGGAAATTCTGAAAGCACTCCAACTCCTGTGGTGGACTGGCTGGAACCAGCCACTGAGAAGAAAGGTCAAACTTACACTGACTTACCTCCTGGGGAAACAGAGAATGGAAAGGGAGATGAAATGCTGGTAAACAAGTTTTCCTCAATACTCCCTTATACACCACCACGAGTGCTTGGATATACCAGCCCAGGTGCTGCCTTTATTCCCTGCAGCAAGCACTGCTACAGCCCAGAGAAAAGTGCATAAGATTTTATGTGTATAACTCAAAGAAGGAAATTGATTAATGAGGTCTAAAGGAATGTGTAGATTTTTTCCTTCTCACAACTCAGTCCTTTTTCTGTGTATTGATTTTTTTTTCTGTGCAATCAATTTCACTTTCAATTGCTTCTAGCAGTTGTTTTGTTGCTACAGGAGCTTCCACAGTTTCTCCAAGCTGATCTCACTATTCAGCTCCTACTGATAAACCCATGACACTGAATTCACCTTGCTCCAAATATTTTCACTTCTCCCACTTTCTTTTCCTTGTCCCTTGCAGCAGCACTATAAAAACCTCCCATGTACAGTGGTCTTAAAACATTCTGGATTTACTTTATTTACTGAATTTTTCTTTACTTTTGTTTTTCCCCTAATATATTAACGGTATAATTAAAACTGTCATTTCAGTCTCTTTATGCTACTGACTTCCTTCAACAACACTTTTTACTCTGGTTATTTTTTAAATGCTTCTGTCAAAACCTGCCTGAAATATCTTTTTTTGATTCTCTTCCCTTCATTCTACAAAACCTTTCCTAATCTACCCCTACCTTATTTTCAGGTCATACTCTCAATTTATGTGCTCCTAGAGCTGATCTGCTGTTTGCTCATATTGAGCTGCCCAGCAAGTTTCACTGTTCACCTCTGCAGCCTGCTGTTTCCTTCCCTGTGTTTATCATGAACAGAAAGGATTCTTAAAAAATTCTTCAATGGATATTGCCAAACATTTACTTAAAATGCTACCATGTGGTTTTAAACCACAGCCAGGCTATACAGCTGCTGCTGTTGCACCCACACCACTGCCTATTGAACTGATCTTTCTTTTCTCACCATCCTCTGTTGCCTCCTGCCTTCAAGAAGCTGGGGCAGCCATGAGTTTACAGCATTTAAGATTCATGTGTGGACCTCCTGAAGCCACCAGAAACACAGCAAATAACACTATTAGCAGGACAGAATAACCCTGCTATTACTTCTTGGTACAAAAGAAGTTAATATTAGATTGAACAAGACATGTTTTTGAACAGAATCTCAAACCAGCTTCTTCTGCCTTTCCACCTGAGTTCAGAGAGAGCTGAACAAGAGTTCAAACCTCCAAATTATTCTCATAAATGTGTACTTCACTTCCAAAGAGGGAGCCAAATCAGTTAAATGCTTACTAATAACTGCAGGGTTATTGAGAACACCAGTGTTTGTATACTTGCTGGGGCCTTTTACAGAAGCAAGCAAAGGAGAAACAGAAATAAGCAGCAATATTTAGCCAGAACATGTGCCATATTGAACTGCCAGTGTGTCAACCTTGACTAATTTCCTGTCAAAGAAAAAGAAATCACAATTCTCACTTCCTCCCTTGAGGTTGTCAGCACGCTATTAACTTGAGAATCTTTTAAAATTAGCAATCAAATGGTTAGTGTAGGACAAAACAAGGAAACATCTGTCAAAATAATAACTGCAATACTCAGTCCTTTTAATGAATTAGCAGACTTCTGAAAACCTATTGAGTCCATTATTCCCTCCTGTTTTGCATTCTTTTAAAGGATCATGGTCAGTAAGATAAATAAAAACTAAGGGTTTGCAGTGGACATATTACCTGGAGATAGGCTGCTTGCTTGCACAGAGCTGTTCCTGGAGCTGTGACATGCTACCAAGGTAAAACACTCCATTCACCTGTGAGAGTGGCTGAAAAAACCAGATATATAAGAATTAACAAGTTGCAGCAAGGAAAGTTTCTGTTAAACCGTTAAAAAGTATTTTTCACAGTGAGGGGGAAATATTGGAAGGTATTAAAAGTGAGGCTGTGCAATCTCCAGCCTGGCAGATATTCAAAATTTGACTGGACAAGGCCTTGAGCAATCTGCCCTGCTCTCAGCAGTGGGTTGGACCAGAGACTTTCTGAGCTACCTCACAGCATGAATGATTGCCACTGTGTGTCTGTTACTGAGTGAAGGAACCACCTCCTCTGTTTGGTTTATGATGCTCTTTTATATATACAGTCTGCTGCATTATGTCACTGAGGATACCCTTAAATGCCCTGTTCTGCTGCTTCCACCTGAAAAGACATTCAATCTAAACCAAGTCCAAACACTCCAAATTTTCTGAAATCTGTCCTTTTGTTATGTAGATATCAAATGATGAGAAAAAATAATTTTGCTTGTCATCATATGGAAGACAGTGTCTCTGTATTGTTCCACTATCTAGATTATTTTGAAATAAGGTGCTTAAGAACTATAAAGTTAATTTGAACTGGCTGTGAAGGTAAATCCAGACTACTGGTAGAAGTGACAAAAACCAATTATTTACATGAAGAGAAAGATTGAAAAGTTTAAATTTCAAGCTTCTGAGTTGGCTTTTTTTCTTTGGCTTATCAGGATGAAGAGGTTGCAGAAGTGTCTGAAGTGCCCTTGTGGCATTTCCTGGCTGCTACAGACTCTTTCAAACAGTTTTGCTTCTCTTTGGTCTTCACACCTCCAATCAGATGCAAGTTTCAGGGAAAAGGGAAAGCACTTCCACGCTCTGCTCAGTGCAGAGAGGATAAATAAAAGAGGCACTCTGGAAAGCATTTTGAAAACTGACAGTTCAAAGAGAGTCAGGACATTCAAAGCTGCAGAGTCATAAATTAATCATTTTTCATCCAGCACATAAATGCTATATTTTCACTGCAGTTCTTCATTTGATGTCAGCAGTCTACCATATCTGTGAGGCACAGCAGCACACAAGTTCATTCCCCATGATAGTAATCTGACACTATTCACTTTGAATCCTATTGCACATTTTAGAAATATAAAAATTTCACAGTTTCTTCATGTTTCCATTTTGTTTAAACAACTGTGGTGAAATGAAAACAGTAAGTTGCATTTCCTTCCCCTCCACAAAATACTAATCTTGGTTTTCAACTTTTTTCCCTCTGTATGTTGGTGTTTGCTTTCCTGATTGTGCAAGCATTCAGACCTGTCATGCTGTAGGAATTGAGGCATTTCCTATGGAGCCAATTACTTTCCTTATATTTAATCTTCTCTCTCACTCTTTTTAGTAGCATATGAGAGAGTTCAGTGTTATTTTTATGCTCCGTGTTAGAGAAGAAAAATAACTTGCTTTGAAGATGTAAAAAGGGGCAATGGCTGGGACAGTTTTATGTGTATTCTTCCAGATGAGGCCAAACAACCAGAATCTTGTGTCTGATGTCATGCAGAACAGGGATGTATTCTGGTTTAGAATTACATTGCAGTGGGATGGATTTCTAGAAGATTTGAGCACACAGAGATCTCAGTGGCTGCCTGGGGAGCCGAGAGCTCAGCAGCTCCAAAATGAAGAGGGTTGGGGTCTTTAGAATTAAATAGTCAAGCTATTTCATTCATATGAATGTGTGCAATAATAACTGAACTCAAGGTTCTATACTATGACCTGAATCTGAGCCTTGAGTTAGTAAATCCCTCTTTGAAGTCTCTGGATCCCAAAGGGAACTCCAGGCACTGCACTTGTCCTGTGTGTGATATGTTCTCCTCTCACACCTCTTTGTTCTGCTTGTGTCACCACTCCAGACTCTGGTGATGCAGACATGGCTGGAAATAGCTGGGTTATTTCAAGTTCCTGTAGCAGCAAATCACTACAGTTTTTCACAGAGAAGCTTGGACACCTTTAACATTTGGCACAAGGTAAAGGCAAGGTCACTGTTACAGGACATGAAAGTTGGAAATTTCTGTTATTTTATGCAAAAAACCCAGTTATCATCTGTATTTGAATGGGTCACATCATGCAGAGTCTTTCATGCTTGAGGAGAAATGAGCATTTGAAGACCTTTTGACAAGTTCTGCCAGCACTGCTTTGTAAAGTTGTGATGATTCCAGCCATTGCTGCAGTTCATGTGACTCCTTTAGCTCCCAAAAGAACTGTTCATAAAGAACACATCAAGAGCAGAAAATGTGGGTGTTGTATAAGGTATTTTCCAGAAGAGATGGGTCTTTGTGAGGGAACACCAAATGAAAAGCCCAACAAAATTTCCCTTTTATAATAATAAGGTTGCTGATTGAATTTTAAAGCTGTGCCCTAAGCTGATTCAGCAACAACCAAGAAAGTGGAGCCAAGATGGATTTAAGGTGCCAAGTTCTTGATCTCTAATTCTGCTGTTAAGTGTATCCAGTAATTTGGTGTCCTAATTACAGCTCTTTCCCTTTTTTTTTATAGGCACTTCTCTGCATACTGGAAGGGAGAGGTGATGCAAAACCTGGGAGGAAGGGCAAATGTAATATCTGCAAAGAGTGAAAATGCCTAAAGTGTATTGACATGACAAAGTCCCTTTAGAACTTGATAATTAAAGAGGGCAAAAAAACTCATTTAGAACATAAATATGCCCTGAAAAGAGTGCAACAGAGTAGGAGTAAGCTTCCTCCTACAGAAGAGTTTAATTTTCACAAAAACACCCTAATTGATCTGATAAATGTGTATAAAGTTTCTGGGTACACCAGGCTAGGATGGCTGGCTGCATAGTAAGTGCAGCTGAAGTGTTTCAAGCTGACTCTTCCATGCTGCCAAGGAATCTCTTGGTTGGACCTTTTACTTAAACCCAGCTCCAAGGTTTCAGCTGGCAGCTGGGATTTGGAGAGCACTGCACACTCCACCTGAAGCAGCACCGTGTTCAGCACCTCCAGCTGAACAAAACTGGGCCACAGGCAGTGACCTGGACAGTGCAAAACTGTGAGTAAAAAACCCACTGCTCCTCAGGCAACAAGCTTTGAATTCTTTCTCCTGTTTGCGTGGCCACCTTAGCCTCACAAAGTCAGAGCAAAGTTTTTTTGTTAAGGAAAGGGAAAAAGGAGAGGGGGGAAAAAGACAGAAAGAAAAAACAGGTTTATACTAGCTAGTTTTAAATATTTCACTGGAATACCCTCTCATGACTTCCACTAATGGATTTTCCTTTTCAGTACAGTAAATTAACTAACATGGGAGTGTGGGCCCCAGTTCCTGTCACTGGCTGCTGCTGTGACAGGTGGTGGTGATTATTTTTATTAGGCTATGTATTATGTAATCAGAATACAAATGTAGATTTGGTTTTGCTTCAGTGGAAGGATAGGTCTGGAGGGAAGTAGAAGAAAAAATTCAAATCTCTAGAGCTGCACACATGGCCAATAGTAATCTAATACAGTAGGAAAGGGGATTCTATCAGAACACATGAAAAACTTTCACAGTCTTGCTGTTAATCTTCTGAAAATGTAAAAATCCCTCTTTTATTTTGAAATCATGCAGGAAAAGTTTCCACTTTTATCACCTTTCTGCCACACACAAAATTGTATGTAAGGAAAGAAGTCAGCTTATTTAAGGGAACACAACCAGCCCACACTGGAACAAAAGTGTTCCTGCCAGGAACAGACAGGTCTGCAGAGATGGGAACTAAAGTAAAGAAAAGGAACTCTGGCAATGCACTGACACTCCAGCAAACAGAAGTCATCATGACTACATAAAATAGAAATATGACATCCAAATAATCACACTAATTACATCTCTATCCAGATATCTGATAAAAAGCTCCAAGAGAAGCCACTGTTATAAGTGTGAGCAGATCTAAATTGTGCCCTCGTAATATCTTTCATGTTGGAATACCTACAGGTTTTCTTGATTTTTCTGTTAAAAAAATGTGTACCTAAATCTGGAAGACGATGCCCAGAATGCCTTCATGTCTGACATCCTATATCCACCTGAAGCTACAGTCTGTCCATACAGTGCTTCAACAACAAGTGAAATGGAGAGGAGCAATGTTTGGGATAATCCCCACAAGTGTCTGGGGTGATACTCACACTGCCTCCCAGGGCTCTGTATTCTCCTTTAGCTTTTAAAGCATTTTTCTTGTCCTCCAGATTGCTTGCTCTCTGTTTTTCTTGCTAATATTCTTACCATGGAGTCTCACAATTCAGAGGACTACAGGAACTAAGGGAATTGCCCTGTGTTCCTCAGTAACTGCTCTCCCAGCAGCAGCATTCACTCCAAGTGCTGTTACTCAATTTGCAATATCCCACAAGCCCCAGTACAGCCTGTTGTCCCTGCCAGCACTCAGCCAGTGCCATGGCCAGCTGCCAAAACGGGAACAGCCACAGTGTCTGACTCTGGACAGTCTGGGCTGTGCACAATATCCATCATTAGTACAGCTGCAGTAATGAGCAATAGCAGAGAAGCTTCACAGGAAAGTCCAGTAGACATGAGACTCTTCAAAAAACAAAGTCTCTAAAATGGAGAGCAGGTATTCAGATGGGGTGTAAGAGCATCTAGAGAACAGACAGGGGAAAAAAAGAATGTATCATTCTATTTAAAGGGTTATATCTTTTTCCACATAGCACAGTGAATCTGATTTCTTACAGCAGTTAACATAAGCTCCAAAGAATATGCATGTCCAGTTTTGGAATTCTGAAATGCAATGCAGGAAAAAATTTGAAATATTTCCTACAAAAGTTACCTTGCAGGGAATAACTGCTGACTGGACACCTCACCACCATATAGGTTTTATTTTACAGAAAAATGCAGAGCTGTTTTGAAGCCTTGTGCATTCACCCTGGGGAATCTCCAGAGCACTTTGCACTGTAAGAAAGATATCTTGTCATTAATGACTAATGACTGGTGGGTAATCCTGCAGCAGAGTCTCTTTATCTGACAGGACTCCACACATGGATGACTTGCAGCACAATTACCCTGCTGTGGTTGCTAGGTGGCAAATGTAGTGCCTAGAAAACATCTGATGCTGACAGCTACTGTAAACTGTTTTGTAGGAACAGCTTTACCACTGCATAAATTCTGCAATAAAGTTTTCTAAACTAGAGCTATTCCAAACAAAAGCACCACAAAAATCACATTTATACTGAACTTTCGACATATACAACTTAACCCACATTTCTCAGGATAAAAATTTATAAAACCAGAATTTTCTAAAAGCTGAGTCAACAAAACAGCCAGGTCACTAGAGAAAAGACTGTTCTGATCCCCTCACAGTTTACAGGCACTCCTAACTCTGCCCTCCCAGGAGGGACTTGGCACTGCTCAAATAGGCATTGTAGCTGATGAAACAAGCATGTAAAATTTTACTTGCAAACTACTCTTGTGCACTGCTCACCATGCAGAGTTAACACCTTGAATTCCTTGGTCTTCAAACTCCCCCTTCCCTAAGGATTTGCATATGTTGTTAGCTGTAGTGCTCTCCCAAGATGCACACCCTGAACTCTGATCCTTGCAGCTTTGTGGCCTTCTTCAGGAGATGTGATCCTCACACAGCGACCAGGGCATCCTCTACCACTACCAACTTCCAGTTCATACCCTCTTCATCTCTGCTTCCCCTGTCTAAACTGGTCACTGAATGCTACCAACAATTAAAATGTAGCAAAAGCACATACTCTGACATTTAGGATTTGGCACAGCATAATGCAGCTACTGTAGCAGAATAAACCCAAATTATGTCCAGTTGCAGATATTGAGAGGGAGAGTACACCTAATCCTAATAAAGAGCAAAAAATCTTTACTTGACACTTGAAACAATGGAAGTAAATGAAAGAGGGGAAAGTTACAGATAGATCAAGGAATCTGAAGGAGAGTGAAGGCCTTTAAACAACACCATCAGAACAGCTTATGGCTCAGCTTGTAGCATAGTGAGTAACTGCTGGTATTCAGGAAATTAATCTGAAGATCTTAATTGCAACTCAAACAATTACTCATAATCAGACTGCTGTAATAATTTCCCTACTAGTAGATAAAACAGCTCCTTCAGGTCTTAAATATTGCCCATATTAAATGTTCTGATTGCTCTGGTTCAATATTCCTATCCTGGGTTTCATAAGTTGTGTTTACTCCCAGGAAAACAGGAGGTGTAAACAACATCCAGGCAAAATTTATCAGGAAACTTGCAGGAAAATATGATGACCAGAGTTATCAAAAGACTAGATGAAGCTGTCTGAGTTGATTTGTCAGTTTGGGATCAGTTTTTCAGATTATTTCCATCTTCCCCTTTTACATCACTCAAACCCCCATTTTGTCTCTAAACCATCCCTACCTTCTCTGTCAGCACCAGGCAGTTCATCCTAAAATGCAGTAGCAAATGTTTCATTTGGGAAGGTATCAGCCATGTAGTGTTTTCTGGTTTCCCCAAGAGCTGACACTTCCAGTTTGAGCTGTTTACTGTGATTTGTTTGCAGAAGTGCTCCTAAAATTCAAAGCTAAGTCAGGCAAATTGGCACAAATATTGAGATAACAAGGGATTTCTTTTTCTCTTTGCTAAGGCAGGAAAGGTTCAAACAAGGCTTTATCTGGAGAGATTTTCACTGCAATGCAATCTGGCACAGTAAATGCAATGCACTGGGGGACACTGATTTGTGTCACTGCTCTTACACAGTTTCAGGAAGCACTTGCTGTAAAAAGCAGGACTATGGTGATAAAGTCTAATAAGACTGTGAGGAAGTTACTAAACGTTTGCCTACTCAGTCTCAAAACAATCCTCCTCCAATCTGAATGTTGGAAACACACAAATTTGCAACCTAAACAGATTTTCTTTGGGTTTCCCCAGCTAACACATCCAATACATGTCTTGGAGACAGGAAACATGGCTCCAGTAGGGGAAGCAGTAAACAAGGAGAGGGCTAAAAATCTGGTTCAGAGCCACTTTTTGTTTATTTGTCAAATTCACTTAAAATGGTAAACCTGAAAAAGAAAGCTTCAGTTCTAATATACAGGATAGAGTACTTACTTATCCATATCTCCAAATTGGCCAAGGCCTAACAAGATCCATACAGAAACACTAAAGCCTTCTTTACAATTGGATTTTTTAATACCTGGAAGAAAGAAGTTACTTAATAAAACTAATTCGCGTGACCAACTCTTCCAGAAAGTCACTAAATCACTCAATTTTTCATTAAATGTTTCTTCATAAAATAAACAAAAAATCCAACCACACACATAATGGTCAGCAATGTCATTTTTAAAGACAATTTTTCTATTTTGGTCCCTGCTCCTCTGGACTATCTGCAGGCTATGAAGGTTGCTAAGCTCGTGCTTATCTAATCTTCCATTTTTGCAGCTGTTCAGCTCCTACTAAGAAACCAGTCAGAAGCTGATTGCAGACTGTTTGTCCTAAGAGATTGCTTTGCCAAAGGAAAAGCATATTCTGGGCCACACTACTGATGACAGAAGGAAATAAGAGCATTCTAAGTTCATCCAGAGTAGGAAAAGGCTGCTACACACAGGAACATAAAATATGTGGGGTTTTATCCGTGGATGAGAGAAGGAATGAAAATAAAAACTTTTAGCCTCTGCTTCCAGTCTTGTTGCAAATCTCTTTGTGGCAAAGTTAAATTGCAGGAAATGCTGAACCACTCTAACAGATGTGCTTTCCAAATGTATATCAAGGAATCTGTTCTTCAGCATAACAGAGTTACCTATAGTACCAAGCAAACACTGTTCCTGCAAAGTGAAGTTTGTTACACTGCCAAATCTTTAACTAGGAAACCATCCCTTCCCCTGTCTCCTACAGATTGAGCCTGCAGCCTAATTACAGAGCAACATTTGACTTTGCTAAAACCTGTCTGTTCTCAATTTAAAAGAACATGTTTTAAAATGACTGTTGGATGTTAAGTAATAACCTGGAGGGATGGGGACCTGACTGCACCCGGATCCACGGAGTGAGCCTGAGATGCTGGCACTCTCCAGATGTCTGTCCTCAGTAGGCTTCCAACTCTGGCAGAGAGCTTTAGAAATAACTGCTGCACAAAGGAAATGCTTTGTACCTTGTTCATCAGTTTTCAAGTACAAAAACAGTCTCCAAAGCATGAGACTAAGATGTTCAACACAGCAAATTCATATTTTTACATATTTTAAAGCCTTGGAAGTGAATAGGATATAGCTGCAGCTACCTCCTAGTACTGCAGCAAAATAAAGATTATCCTTTTCATTGTGAATATGATGCATAGCACTGTTTTCACCTTTTATCATCTATGGAGTAACATATAAAAGCTGTATTTTCAGGGCACAATGCAAGGCATCCAAGCAGAAACACCTCTTGTCCCAACTTAGGTTCTATGCCAAAAAAGGGCTTCAGCCTTCAGAATCCTAAATTAAAGCTTATGCTCAGATGGCTTTTAAACAATCCATTTTCCCTGGCCTGGATTCCCAGTCTCTCATCATGAAGTACCACTTACAGCACTAATCAGAATTAGAGAATGCATCATTCAATTATGCTGTCATATAAAAACCATCTATCTTCTGAGGGTTTTCTTTTAAATAGCTATGGTGGGTGTTCCTAGCACTAACGCAAACGTGGAGTGATTCTACTCTTCAGATATACGGTGAGGCTATTCTCACACTAATCTCAAAAGTGCTTTTACACTTCATGAGTCATACCCATAATTACAAATAGCTGAGTAAAAAACCCAACAGATGCTTTCTTAAGCAGAAGGCTAAGGAAAGCTGGTAGGGTTCCACAGCAGAAGAATGCAAGAAAAGATTTGGGGGCATGTACAACATACTCTGGTAGAGGAAGCAAATCCTGGTTTAGTATTACCCTGAGGTTTTGCAGGTATTTAAAAATAATTAAACTTCGACCCATACAAACTATTCATATACTTTCATTTCTCTTCAGGCACAGAGCTGGATTAATAATTTCTTGTGCATTTCTTTCCCAGGTGAAATAAGAAAATATAAAACCTGCTCAAGTTGCTGGAGAGGGTCAGCTTGGTCCTATTTTCTGTGTATGTGCTCTCCAGTAAGCTGTAAGTAAAGGTGCAAGATGTTATTTACACCTCCTCAAATACAGACAGCAGCAGTTTGTCCTTTTTAACAATCCCCCTACAGACCTGCAAAACTGTTCTGTGTGGTCTCTTTCCCTGATAAACTTTCTAGAGTGCACAATGATTACTGAACACATTTTGCACCAAGGAGTGCTACAGAACAGCAGGAAATGGAACAGATATTATGGGTGTAATATGCATCTGCTGCATATTCTCTGTGTTTCCCAGTGGAAATAGAGGGAGTAGAAATAGATGATTTATTTTACTGGCCACCATCTCAGAAGTAATACAACATATGCCCCTAATTAAAGGAACAAATATTGACAGTAATTGTTCAAAATTTAAGCATAATGAATATACAAAGAATATACTCAGAGGGCACAGGATATAACTGACAGAAGGAAATTGCAAAAACAAGTACTTTTAAAATAGCCACATTAGCAGACAAGGAGTGCGTGATATAAATTTGCAACAATGGAAACAATTTATTTCTAACAAAAAAAAATACAGGCATATCACAATCTAGTCATTTATTTCTCTGACAGTGGTATAGTCCCTGAAGAGAAACAAAGAATCTCTATAATTAGTAACACTTAAAACCAACACTGCTGGAAACTATGCTTGGGTCAGAGTAGCTGTCACAGTGGCAACCACAAGTGACCCCAGAATTGTTCTGTGAATAATTCCCAGTGAAATCTATAAGCACATGTAATGCTTTAAACTCTTGAGTGCTTGTGATATGAAAACATCAAAGCAGAAGGGTGTGCTTTAAGTGACAGCATAAATTCAGAAAAGTGTCAAATCTCTTTATGTAAGTTATGAATATTGAGGAAGAAATTGTATTATCAATAAACTTGTAATTCTTCTCCAAGGAAGAGAAAAATATCTCCTGTAGTAGCATGTTGCATGTTTACAGTTGTACATTAGTTGTGCACAGCTAAGGAGCAAATAAATGAGAGAAAACTCTTAATTTTTTCATCCTTAGCACAGCTGAAGATGATATTACTCAATGGCTTTAACTGAGCATGCTTCAGCAGCTCCTGTTCTTTGCAGACAGTGGGTTCTTTGCTCCCCAGGTGTGGATCTGAGATCATTAGACCCTTGCCCCTGCTAAAAGCCTTAAATGTTAACTGGTATGGGTTAACTGGGGATGGGTGAAGGAGACAAAGTAAGAGGAGCTTTTAAAGCAATTTTGAAGGATTAACAGCCCTGTACTTTGTCCACAACAGACTGGAAATTTCCCATCCAAGCCTGCACAGAGAAAGCAGCTCATTTTCAAAGATAAGAAACTGATGTGAATGAACCCACTTTGTTCTCCATGCCATTTACTAAATATGAGATACAAAATGACTATTCAAACTTTCTCAAAGGCAAAAAGTTTTCAAATTATACCAAAAGAGATTTCCAGTCTTCTTCTCTTAAGGCTGTGCTATTATTGGATGGCTTTTACCAGTCAGCTTTGTCATAATTGCATTCATGATTTTTGTACAAAAGGGCATGACCCTTCTCCCTGGAATGGATTGGGACACTTACATACCGTGGAGACTCCATCCATGGTTATGTAAGTACAGCAGGTATCTCTGGGGAGATTCAAGCAACAAAATGGGATTTAGATATCTTAGTAAATTACTGGCCCAAAGGCTACCTCTGCATCTGCTTCCCTCACAGAAGGTTACAGCCATGGCCAATGGTACTTTGCCAGACTATTCAGACCATTAGCTACCGACAGAGGAAGTAAACAGTGTCTGCTTACTCTTACACTTCTTTCAAAAAGGATTATGAGCTTTTAAGGTTTAGTAGTGTTTTATCATCTTTTCTGTGGTAGTTCAGTCATAAAGACAGTACAAATGGATGCTGCACTACACTTATTAGATCCAAAGCTTAAACCATTATTCTTACATTAAACAATGACTTCTATAAAAATGTTCTTACCTGGCTGTGGTATCTCAGATATGCCATGCCACCATACATTTCTGATTAACCAAAATACACGATGGTGTGCTTGGGGCAGTGTATACCATGAAACAGCTGCTCTACTAATGCTGTAAACTGGCTAGATGGGATTTGAGAGCAGTCCAGAGTTACCTGTCATCTTAGGAAGATTTCCTGATACACCAACATATCTAACGGGGCTGTACAGCTCCCAGGCAAAGGATGACTTGTGTCTGGATGGCTTAGAGAGCAAGTAGAGGAGGCGACACATCCATGGGGTTACTGGGCCATATTTAGCTTTCCAGTGAACGAGAATGGTAAGAAACCATGCACCTTGTTTCATGCTTATGGTGGACACTGCATTTAAGGAAGGAAAAATTAGTTTTACCCCATAGAAAATTTTGCAGTCATGCTGGCTTTGGTTAGAATAGAGTGAGTTTTCTTCATAGTAGCTAGTGTAGGGCTATGTTTTCAATCTTCCTTGAAAGCAGGGTTGATAATTAAAAGAGAATAAAAAAATGAAGTCATCTGATTCTTTCCCCCATCCTGCAAATCGGAAGCTTGTTTGCTGACTGAAGTTAAACCACGATATAAACTGTGTGTAAAACAAGTTTTTCTGTAAGTTATTGTGACTTCCAAACTTGATCTTCTATTCCCTCAAAACTCATTCTGCCAGACTTCAGAGGAGCCTCAAACAAGTTGGGATCTCTGTTACCACTAACTATACCCCATCAGAGAAGTCGCGATATTCTTTTTCACTCCAGTAACGACCAACTTCAGCCGAGGGGGGACAAATCCCTCTATTGGGGAATTTCCTAACTGCAGCACCATGGCATGAACTACGGAGTAAAGTTGGTATAGTGGGACTGCGACCTTTCTGCAGGTTTGAGGCAGACGCCTTCAGGGAGGCCGGCGCTGTCTGCTCGGGGCCACGGAACGAGGGCTGGCCGGGCCCTCGGTGCCACCAACACCGCGGCGGCTCAGGCGTGGCCTCCGCTAACAGCGCCCCGTCCTGTTGCTGCCCGGTAAAACCAGAAGGCGCCTCTTGAGGGATCACAGAGGTGTCTGAGGGCTTTTAGCGCGGGGGGGATGGCGAGAAGAGCGCTCGGGCTGGGTCAGCGACGTCCAACGCCCTCAGTGCCTGGCAGGAGCGGCTGTGCCCTCACGCCCTCGCCTTGATGCCGCGCGGGGCTCAGGGCTGAGGGCTGAGCGGCCGCGGGGAAGGAGCGCGGCCCTTCAAGGGAGCCCTTCAGCCTTCCGCGGGCCGCCGGCCCCGAGACCCACCAAGCAACGTCTGGAAAACATGTCCTATGGAAAGTGGCTGTGGGAGCTGGGTTTGTATAGTCCCGAAGAGATTCCGGATGGACCTCATCACTCTCTACAACTGCCTGAAAGGAGGTTATAGTGGGCTGGGGGCCGCTCTCTTCTGCCGTGCCCACAGTGAGGGGAGCAGAGGAAATGGCTTTAAGCTGATACGGCGGCTGTTCGGGTAGCCAGGCAATGGAACAGGTTGCCCAGGGCGGTGGTGGCGGCACTATCCCCGATGGTGTTAAGAGGCGTCTGGATGTGGCGCTGGCTGATGTGGTTTAGAGATTTTGGGGTGATTCTGATGGTGCTGGATTGACGGTTCGACTGCGCAGTATTAAAGATCTTTTCCAACCCCGATGATTCCACAATTCCATGCCTCTATGATTCTCCGACTCTGTGATTCTCTTCTGTGATTCCATCCTCACCCCTCGCGGCGCGGGGCGGGACCCACGGCAGCTGTCACGGAAAGGGAGGGAAGGGCCGCGGGCGCCCCGCCCGTCAGCTGTTGCTGCCCGGGCCCCGATTGGTGCCGCGCGGCGCCGCCCGGCCCCCGCTATAAGGCGGAGGCGCGGGCGGGGAAGGAGCGGCCGCGGCGAGGCTGGCGGGTGCGTGGGGCTGCTGCGGGATGGTGGCCGCGGGCGAGCGGTCCGGGGGCGGGGGAGGCGCGGCTCGGTTCCTTGCGGGGCGGAGGTGGGCGGGCTCGCCGTGCTGTGAGCCGGGGCGGGGGGTCGGTGAGGTGGGCAGGGACCCGGGTCGGGGCCGCCAGAGTTCCCCCCGAGTTCCCCCGCCCTGGGTCGGGGCCGCCCCTTCTCGCTCTTTGTGTCCGCGCCCGGCCCTGCTGGGTTCTGAGCGGTGCTGAGCGCCCCGCAGGCCTCGCGTGGGCCCCGTGGGTGACTCGGGGCTCCCCCGGCCCGCGCTGCCTCGCCCGGGGCTCGACCCCGTCTCCCGGCGCTTTGCAGCCGCCCTGCCGTGCTGCAGTCACAAGGCGATGCCTCACGGATCGTCGGCGCCTGCTCGGGGTGGGCACCGGGCTCCTCTCGGCTGGAGAGGCTCGTCCCTGCTCGCCCTGTGCGAGGAGTTCGGTACGTGCTGCAGGTTTATGTCCAAAGCGACCTTTGCAATGATAATCCGGGAGTTTTCGGTAACGCAAGTTGCTCAAACTGAGTCTTGTTCCTTCCTCTGAGTATCTGCAGTGTACCGTGGCGTCTCGTGCTCTTCCTTTTCCTGACATAAGTGTAGGTGTAAACATTACACTTGTCAGTAGAAATTGCTTTTGAATAAAACCTAAAGAACTTGAAACCACTTGTGAGACTGTTACCTTGATTAGCAGGTAGGTGAAACAGTAAGGGATCTTTCCCTGACAGCTTGTGCCAGACTGGTTAGTAGTTAAACGTGATTATGTCACTGGAAAGCTAAAAGTGAAAGGCACTCAGGATGCAGAGCAGCTAGAGACCAATGTGATCACTCTCCACAGGGGAAGAGCAAGAAGGAAGACTTGCCAGACAAGATCCAAAACCAGTGTGACCTTCGCCTTTAATAAGGTGATTCAGAAACCGTGTGCATAGAGGACTCCTAGCCAGAGCTGCTTCCTGCAGGTATGTGACTGACTCCTGGCATACTTGCTGTCTAAAGAGTTGAGCTGTGTATAAAAATGGTTTGACTGTCAGAAACATCAGGTGCTGTGTGTAGCTGCTGTTACACAAAGCCATTTAAAAAAACCCCAAAATTACACATTTGGAGAGCTACCTTGAATCTAAATTAAAAAAACCTGGTTTTATGAGCAAACTTAATGTTGGCATCTCAGTAATTTTTTAATATATCAAGAATTAAGCTATGCCAGGGGATATATGCAACATAATACTTCTGGTAATGGAATGTCAGAAATTACTCTTACCATGTCAGGACAGACTTTTCATTAGAGAACCATGTGGACGTGACACTGACAGATAAAAATCTGGACTCTGACAGATGTTTTACCAGCCATGCAATTGCCTCTGAAGTCAACATGGTCTTAACACTGTAAGCCTGTTTCCAGTTCTGCATTAACTGGCTGACATGCCTGACAGGCAGTTACAGCATAAACCTCCTCCACTTACTGTGCTGCTGAGAGTCTGTCTGCTCTTTCAATTGTTGTCATGTCTGGAAAACATCTTAGACTACTGCTCTCTCATCTCTCCATCTTGCTGTCTTCTGTAAACTACCAACTTCTGTGTGGTTTAGCTTGGTGCAAAGCTTTAAAAGTGACTCTTGATTAAGTCGAAGGTACCACTACACCTCACGTGGGAACTAACTGCTGTTCCAGCCAATGCTGATAGGTATTGGCTTTTGTTCTAACAATTGCTTGAATGCTAAGTTCTTGGAATTCTGTCCACAGCTAATTAGCCACAGAAAAGCTCCTTTCTTCTATTCCTCATCAAAACTATAGTAAGGGTGGGAAGAGATGATTTGCATTGAAACCTTCTAAACAGCTCCCTGTTTCTAAAATAGCCTCTGGCCAAGCCCCAGCTTGTGCAAGGTAACGTGGCATTATCACAAGGAGTTGGTATTAACTGGAGTTAATGAGGAATAACAGTGATGCCATTTTTTATGTGCAAGTGGTGAAGCCTGAGCACTCCTGTATTGTAAAGCCCTTGCTTTCTATGGGTAGTGTGGGTGCTATACACACTTGTGTGCCCGTGGTAAATGTACAGCACTGATCTTGCCAGTGGGTTCTCCCCTTGTCTTCCATTGGCAAGAAGTGTGTTACTGTGATGGGTATGCAGCATTCCTCTAGAGGGATTTTACTAAACAAGCAGGAGAAGGCATTTTTCACAATTAGAAGCACGTTGATTTAGAAGCTGTTGTTGGAGGCTTTTTAAGGAAACAGTTCTGATTCTTTAAAAAAAAATAGGCTGAAGGTCACTCTGATAGTTTTATTCTCACTTCTTTACTGTGCCCCATTTAACTTACTTTAGGTGGAATACTATAATACAGTAGTTTCCACCTCCTCCCCTTCCTGCCCCCCCCCCAAAAAAAAAAAAGCCAAAATACTTAATACTTGAACCTTGAACATAACTACTTGATGAGGACTTCAGTATATCTGGTGAACTATTGTAAACTTGCTTTTGAAGCCTCTCCCTACAGCTTTGGCTTGAATGGTAGCAGTGAAACATGCCTGTGGGCATTAAAAATAGTGACCTTAGCAGCATAATGCCTGTAATAATGAAAAACTTGGTTTAGGAACTAATTTCAGTCTTGCACTGCATTTGTCCCCTTGCAGCTTTCTGCAGTTCTGACTGCCTTTCTGTTTGTCCTTTAGTTAGAGCTTCTGAATTGGATAATAAAACTTCACAAATGAATTTCTGAGTAGAAGCTGGTATTAAGCAAAAAAGAAAAGCAAGTTAATTATGGAAAAATGGTTTCTAGCTGATGTTTTCACTGCTTGATTGCTGTAAGAACTAAAATAGGCTATTTGCAGTTCACACCAGTCATCTGACTAATCTTGCTAATGAGTAAATATGCTTAGATGCTTGATTTGATAGCAAGTGTGGTGGGAAGGGACATAGCTCTACAAGTGCTACCAAATATATGGATGGTGATGGCAATCCCTTTGAAGATCAGAAATTTACAGCCTCTAAGTGATGAACAAAGGGAGTGCTGCTCCTGGCATGCTCAGAGGGGCTTTTTAGCTCAGGTAGGCTTTAAGGGGAAAGTGAGTCTGAACAATTTGTGGCCTTTAAATCAATTTAAGGGGATCTACAAAATACAGTGTTTACAGAGACAGCTTAATCTGGATTCCAGTTAGTTGCTGGTGGAAAGAATGGTTGCAAGGTTGGAGTTGTGTGTCCAGAAAACAACACAATCCCAAGGCTTCTCCAGAAGATCTTGCTAATATAGTTCCAACATGCAAATGTACTGTGCTAAGACTGCAGGAGAGCTTTAGTTCTAGCTGTACAATGACTTAAAGCCAGAAAAACAGCAGTGTGAGCTAGCAACAACACCGTAGCTTCCAAACTATCTAAAGCTACTATCACACGCTTCTAACTAGTTGTTTGTGCCATCTGTACAGATGCTTAATACCTGACTTTACATAAGGTGCTGGCTCTCAAATCCCTGAGTGGGAAGAGGATATGCCTGAAGGAAGGATGCCTGCACTTTGTCATTGAGAGGTGAAGTTATTTGAATTCTAAATCAAATAGAAAACATTCAGAATTTTAAAGGTAATCTATGGATTTGACCAAGAAAGGTCTTCAAGAGGAATCTGTAAATTGCTGTGTTGGACTCAAAATTGTCAAGTCATCATAAATCAATCTTGTGCATCCTGAAACAAGATTGCCAGAAAATCCTGGTGATGGAGAGACTGGTGATGTGAACAGTTTCATACTTTATATGGTTGATGCTGTCTAGTCACAGACTTGTGGAGGGGTAGCATCTGCAATAGTTTCCACTATGAAAAACTATTTTCTAGGTGACAGTAGCTGCTTAATGTAAGGCTATGTGCTGACCCAAAGTGCTATAGAGGAACAGTGGGCTGTCACAACAGTGCAAGCTGCAAAAGAAGCCTCAGTGTGGCTGTGCAGTGTCTGCATGTGAAGCAATGTAAACTATTTTTTATGGTGATGCTGTACTGTTTTGGCTGGATCAAACAGTGCTGCTCTTGAGACATGCCCTGAGGAAAATGAACTACATGAAAGTCACTCTTAATCACCCTCAGCTGATCACCCCGTGTTGAATAAGCATTGCAGACCCAAGGTGATTATTGCAAATCATAGAATTCTCTGGCTGCAGTGGGCACACAGCTCTGCTGAGGGTGTGTGGTGTGGTCAGGTTTGGTGTTACTATTTAGGCAAAACTGAGTCTGCAGAACTTGGCTGGTTGTATCAGATACACTACAAGCTATTGATTGCTGTAGTTTACAGGGCTGGAAATGTAACCAGAGTGTCTGCAAGCTATGTGACACTGGATTCTAATGGCACCTGCTAAACTCTGTAGTGGTGTCCTTGCTGAAATGGTGATACACATGGATCTATTATTCTATGACACGTCAAGGAGCAAACTTGGTCTCTGGCTTGAGTTGTTTTGGTAAGGATCCTGCACTGTAACTGCCTTGACTTGTGTTGAAATGCAGGTGAGACTTGGTACAGTTGGGTGTCACTCACTGTGACCCAGTGGTCCTGACTCCTGAGGGGTTTTTGTATGAAGATGCTGTACTTGCACAGCAGTGATGGTGAGGAGGAGCCTTTCCTGGATAAGTGTATGTGGCCCTCATCAGACAGCAGCCAGAAGAGACTCCTGTTACTGCCAGTCAGTGGAACAGGTCCAGAGACAGGCACATGTGCACTTGGAGCTGGCCTTAGAGCCTCTAAGGACTGCACCGTTTGTACCTGAAATGGCAGCATTGAGCCCTAACCTGATTTTTACAGTAGTACTGAGGTAAGAGATGTTCCTGGCTAAGACTGGTCTGGTCTCTACTATAGTCTCGCATGAGTTTGTGTTTTGTTGAAGAGCTAGGGTAATAGGAAAGAAGCACGTTATTCATTCATTACCTTTTATGTCCTAGTTGAAGGAAGGCAAGTGAAGCTATCATCTTTATAAACAGTAACTTTGAAACTAAAGACAAGGCTCACATGACTTTTAAAAATAGGGTTGGGAATTTGGAAGAAGTAACAAAAGACATTTACCTGTATATTTTTTCCTGCAAACAGTACAGCAAACTAAGGAAGTCTTGGAGCTCTTCCAGTTTCCTGCTGCTGCCTCTCTCCCAATTCCAGCTGCAGTCCTAATGGACTATGTTTCTCTTGTGGTTTTACAGCCACTAAGAGGAGCAGAAGCTTCCATTGTGCTTTGTTAGTTTTAAATACAGCTCTACCTGCTTTTTATGAAAATAGCAACAGATGTTTTATGTGCTCAATGAACAAACAATTAATTACCATGTACCCAGCCCTTGTAAGTAGATCAGTGTTATAGACAGACTTATAGTAATGCATTAGCACTACAATTACCTTCACAATTAGCTTACCAGTCCTGGAATTGTTAGTATATAAGAAGGATGTTTGTAAATTAAATTTTAAAAAAGGCCAGACACTCAAATGTACTGTTTCTGTAGGATTCCTTGAGGAAAACTAAAGGTAGCTGGATTGCTATCAAGTCACAGATTTGAGATTTCACTTGTAATACAGCATTTGTATGAACAGTCTTGAATCTCCCTGTGCTAAATCATAATTCCATAGAGCTTTCAGTCTTGTCTTGTACCTCCTAGTGAAAATTGTTACCTCTTAGTAGGCTGACCATGTGCTATCTCAAGCATGTCAGAAGCCAAAACATAATTCTGTGATTCTGTGATGAAGCAGCATAAAGCACTGGAGTGCAAGAGGCTCACATGCCCTTGTGGACAATACCAGCCATGAATATAATATTGCTGAATGCAGAACTGCACAAATTCATTATTTATTTTTAAACCTGCAGGAGTTTGAAGATGCATCGAGACTGATAGTTAGGACAGAAAAATCTCCTGGAGAAGAGCAGAGCCTGAACTATTGGCCATGTCCATCACAGATCACAGCCCCAGCACGGGAGTGGTGACTGTCATCGTGACCCTGATCGCTATTGCGGCTCTGGGAGCGCTGATTCTGGGCTGCTGGTGCTACCTGCGCCTGCAGAAGCTCAGCCAGTCTGAGGATGAGGAAAGCATTGTGGGTGAGGGAGAAACCAAAGAGCCCTTTCTGCTGGTGCAGTACTCTGCTAAAGGACCCTGTGTGGAGAGGAAAGCAAAGCTAACTCCAAATGGCCCAGAAGCACACAGCTAACTCAGAGCAACACCTGCAGGTGGGCTGTGATCATGACGTGTAACCAGCAGAAGCATCTCAATACTGTGAAGAACCTGGTCTCCTGCACAGTACTCATCAGAAAACATCCTGATGAGAATTAAATGAGCTTTGTTTGCAACTGCATGCACTGAGAAGCTGCATTTTGCATCAGCTGTGTATCCTAATTCCTCTGTGGCAGGAGCTGACTGGCCTGGTGTAATGTCCATTGCCGGCAATGGGCACAGGGATATACTGGTGTGAAGAGACTACTACTGTATTTTGTTACTTGAATGTTCAGCTGAGCCTATTTTGATGGAGCTACTACTGTAATGTGAACTACTTTACAACTGTGAACTAACTGTAAACAGGCTGCCAGAAACTTCTTGCTTTGTGTTCTGTAGCATATGATGCAACTGTATATAATACACAGGGACTCCTGAACCACTACCATGGATGGGACTCCAGACCTTCCAAACCACATCTGCAGTTCCAGCTTGCTTCTGCTACTAGATGGAGTGTGCAGCCAGAACTCCTCCTTTGAACAGTTTACTGGACTGATGCAGAGTACTTCATTTAAAAAGAAGGGATAAGCCTTCAGTAATATGCTGAAGTAGGAAACACAGGAGCAAGAAAGGGAAAGTTGCTTTAGCTGCAGCTATGTTGGTTAAATTTTTGGCTGCTAGAACTGAGTTCTCTATGTGTAGCTACTGCTAGGAAACTGCCATTTTGATGGGTTCCAGCCTGGGAACTTATGATGGATACTGAACCCTCAGGGAAAGTCCAGATGGCTTCCAGGTGTTTGAAATGGCAGTAGAGCAGGCTTCTGTCTTCCACAGGTCTGTGTGCTGAAACTGCTTAGTGGTTACTTAGCAGAACTGGCTTAAGTGCAACTAGTATAAATTCTTCCTAGAACAATGGTTTGTGTACTAGAGTGTACGTTAACAGCCTGTTAAAAAAAGGCATTTTGTAATACATACAGCCAGACAACTCTAGAATTCAGTATTAACTTGTATATAACAGCATCTTGTATATAACTTTTGATGGAACTGTACTACAACAGGAGAAGTTTCAGTCTTTTCTACTGTTGACAGGGGCAAGAGTTATTGCTGGTCAGTTTGTAGAAGTTTTTAGCAAGCAATGGCCAAGTCCTTTGAGATAACACATTTCCTGCTCTGTGCTGGAGTTCAGCTATAGGAACTGTAAAAAGGTGTTAAATGGGAAGTTCTGGACTGCAAAGGTTTGGGGAGAGAAGAAGGAACAACACTGAGCAGCCACAGGCAGCTTATGTATTCTAAAATTCTTCCTGTAGGGACACATGCTTTGAGGTCACTGGCCTGTTTTCTATTACTTTATACATGGCCTCCTTTGCATACTGATGTTTTTAAACACTTAATTGCCTAGCCTTAATTCAGCTCCAGAGGAAGCATTAGACTTGCTTCTTGTTCTTGTACACATGGAATAACTTAAGGCCTAGCAAGCTTGCTTGAGAATTTCAACCATATGCAAGGCAAGAATGGCCTAGACAAAAAGTTGTCCCCTTCTACACTAAGATGTTGAATTGCTTTGATAGTGCTACATTTGCCTTTTTAAAATTGAAAGCTGTAATTTGAAGCAAAAAATTGCTCTCAGTAGTAAAAAGCTCCTGCTGTTGCCTCTTGAGTACAACATATGGGGTACAGCTGATAATGTTCTTACCCTGACACATGCTTTTAAACACACTGCTCAAGAGACCTGCATGTATAGTCAGACCAGTCCACTTAAATAGCTGTATTTGAGACCTCCAAAAAGCAAAGAAAAAAAGGATTCATTCAGTAAGACTTCCTCTAGTTTTCAGTAGAGAACAGTTCACACATGGCTCTTGTGTTTTCCAGACAATCAGAATACCAGTATACAAAAGTGATACAAAGTGCTGAAGTTTGAGAACAGAACAGTTGTAGCAAGATGACTTTGTCCATTGACGTTTACTGATTACACAGATAAAGTATCTATTTTAATTCAGCAAAGAGAATGCAGTGTAAAGGGCAAATTTCAGAAATTATGGAAAAGTATAAATCAAAGGTCTGATTTCCTTTCTAGCAGCTGTAAGAGAAAGCCAGTGAAAACTAACTGGTCCTTAGTCAGAGGTGCTGCACACTGCTGCCCCTACAAACCAGTATCTTTCATTTAAATGGATAGGTGTTTGCAAGTTAGTGCAATAGTAAAGTGCAGAAAAGTGTTTTCCATTCTCCTCTTCTCTTAAGATGGGGTATCTAATAAGTTGTTCAAGTATACAAAAATATTCCATTTGATTTTTCTTTTTCTAGATCATGTGGGGGGAAGTCTTTATTTACAATGAATGTCAATAAAATTTGCATAAATACCTACCCAATACTGCATCAGTTGACTTTGTGTAAGCAATTATTCTGTCCTATTTCCACTACTGTGCTCTGTCTCTATGGTATCAATATTATCAATCCTTTTTTCCTCTAAAGCAGCAGTAGCTGTTGAAAGTGATATATCATTATCTTCAGAAAGTGTTTGCTCAGATTGAAGGGGTTCTTCAATTTCATCTTTGCTCTGTAGCTTTCCTCCTCTTGATGCCACCAGAATTCTCAATAAAGCATTTTCTTTAAGGAGGTTTTCTGATGCATCAGCTAATTCTTGAAGCTTTTCAGCCATTTCTAATAATTCTTGATTCTTCTGGTCATATGTGGCCTGTAATTGCTCACTGTGGAGCTGCAGAGTCTTGTGCTGCTTTTCCAGTGTGTGTTTTTGCTGCTGCAGTCTCTGTTCCTCTCTCCTGGCTTCAGAGAGCTGTGCTTCAAGCTGGTCATGGGCCTGATGAAGGGCACTGATTTCTGATCTCAGCTTCTGAATTTCTCTCTCCAAGTGTGAGATGTGTCCTTGCTGTAGAACTGACTCTTTATGTAGGCATTCTTTGGTACAGGGCTCTGATGGAGAAAGACTTGAATGATGTAAAATGAATTTCAGGAGATTAGGAAGGTTAACTGAAAAGTCTTCAGGGAACTTCACACTTTGCTCCTTCCTAGAAGGACATAACAAGTTAATAGTAAAGTACTCTGGAAGGTTAAACATAATTTTACCTAAGCATCTGCTGTTTAACTCCAACTTGATTCCTTATTTTTCATCAAGTATGGTCAGTACAGCAGCTAAGAGAAAACCTAAACTCATGTAATACAGATAGATCACACAGATTTTCTTTTGATGTTCATTTTTCCCTGTGTTCCATCTGAGTGCTCTGAGCATCTCTGCATGGGACTGGTATTTGAAGAAAAAATTACATTAAATCTCAGAAGATGTATTTAATTCTTAAAAAAGAAATATTCATGATCATGGGTTATGAGCTTCAAGTACATATTAAAGCATCACTGTATGATCAGAGCACAGTGCCATTAGTATTTGTAAGTTGAAGGATGATGTTTAAATGTTCTTAAGTCTACATATATTATTTAGAATCTAAGTCCAGATATATAAAGCTACACAATGGGAAATCACTACTTTGATTAGAAAAAGCAGTAGCTTAGTGAGTTCCAGCACCTGAAAGCCATGGCAAGGGAGCAGTTTGCTTTTAAACAGTAAGTCACTTTAGCCAGAAGTAAGGCCCTGTCCAAAAATAAATCTCTTCACTTGTTCCTTTTACTGCTTTGTCTTTTGTCCTAAGTGATGATGGAAGCAAACCAAACAAGGTTTTTCTGTTGGTGTTTTTCCCCCCCTGAAGCTGTGAATACTAAGCCAGCACATGGAGCAGGTAAGCCTCCTTGCCTTCTACAACAGCACAAACTGTTACAACAAGAAAGGCCAAGAACAGCAAGTACCAAATTTCTTCCTCAAGACTATCAGCCTCTAAAAACAGCTCCAGCTGTGACAAATGTTACAATTACTGCCCTTTGTGAACCCTGTGCACACATATAAAGCCAACTATCCTAAGGACTAGACTGGAAGTCACTCCTGCTCTTCTCTTTCTGAACCAGTTCCACCTTCAGCCTTTCCCTCAGCATGTTCCAGTGTAACACAACTTCACTTCCTCCTGCAGCACAGCCACTTCCACCTCACCCTGTACACCTGGGAAGCCAGCTAACAGTTTATCACTTTGGGTCTGCTCCAGCTTTGCCTGTCAGCAGTGTATTCTCTCTTTCCTGAGGCAGCCATCAAAACAAGGAAGAAAAGCTTAGTCTGCTTCCATCTGGCTGTCAAACTGATGACTAGAGTAATGGTAAGTAGCATACATTCAGATGTGGGTTAATTATGTAAGTGAGAAAAAGGACAGAGAATAAGCCCAAACAAAAATGATTGCAAAGCAAGAAAGCAAAATTCAAGTACAAAGCCTAAAAGGCTCATGGTGATCTTGTACAACACAAACCAGATAACTTTTTATGTCCCCTTGTGTTTAACATCATGTCCTGAATTGGTTACAATGTGCATCTGGAACAGGGGAGTTCCTTCCTTACCAATCACACTTCCCTCAAAAATGCCTTCTGTAAAATCCAACTCATAAACATGTGCGATATAAAAACATTTCATTTCATTTACTGAAAACCACTTACTGTACAGCAGGTAGAAGACAGATACCATCTTTTATCAATAATTCAAGAACTTCAGTCAGATGAGGCTCCTGCTCATCAAGATTAAGCTATTTCTGGCAGAGTGAGCACCATGAGTGTTCCTCCCCTGCAGACTCCTGATGATGGACCAAGTTACTCTTGTAATTACCATCAGGAGTTGCTCAGCTGACTATCAACTCCCACCCCAGATTAAAGAATCATGACATAATTTAGGCAAAAAATAGTCTATGCTAAATCAAAATTGACTCACTATATTGTGGCAATGTTTTATTACATCATCATCTATTTTTATTGATCAAAACCACAGCATGTATCAAAGAAGCTAAAAGGCTATTTAAAACAAATAGCAGAACAAAACATTAACAGCATGTGGTGGAAAGAAATTGAGAACAGAGTTAATTTGCAAAAATTGTCTCATAAGGCAAATGGATAAGAAGCTGCATTAAAAAGCCCTAATATGAGGCACCTTTATATCCAAAATGAATATCTGGCTACTCTAGTAGTCCTACAGGTACTACAAATACTATCAGATCCTAATTTTCTTGATTACTCACATGCAGCAAAATATAAAAAACACTGGAGAGGAAAAGCGGGAGCGAAAGCAATGACTAGAGGTAAGGTACCTTTATAAAGCCAGTTGGAACATTATAAAAATAATAATAATCTTAATAAAATAATCTTAATAAAAGTACTCAGTCTGTCCCTCCAGAGACTGTCTAGAGCATTACAGAGAGAGACCAAATGAGTACCTACGAAAAGAATCAGGGAACTGATCAGTTGGGGTTGCTCAGGACTGATACAAACAAAACTCACTCTGTATTGGATTAAAACATCAGTGGCAAAACTTAAGGCACAGATTCAGAGATTTTGTGGTATGTAGCTGCCCAGCACCAGTAGACTGAATTCTCATTTGCTGATGGTAAGAGCCCTTGAGGGAGAAGGGTGGAAATCTGGGAGTGTTGGTTGGGTTATTTTGTTGTTTTCCTGGTGGTTTTTTTCATTAGAATATGAATGTGGTAAGAATGCATCTACAGAAATGAATTAATCTTTGGCTTTTTTCTCCACTAAGACACGTAACCAGATAATTACTGCAGCTCAGTAAAACAGAAGTTAAAAAACCACAGGGACAAGAATTACTTTACCTCTGATGAGGAAAAAATAAAATGGTTGGGAGACGGTCTGTCATAAATTCCCAGGGAAGGTCATTTCGAGTCACATCAATTCTGTGAGGAAAAGACACACTGATGAAGAGAACAGGCAGATGAACAATCTGCATTTTCTTGTAAAATGCCATTTTAGGGATTGGGAAAAAGGAAATCTTAAGTATCTGTGAAATAAGTCTAAATGTGTTCTGCCAGAAATACACTGTGCATATGAGTCAGCAGAATTAATTACCAATATTCAAGCTGCTGACTCTCAGTTTAACAAATATCTGTGTGGGTTTTTCTCTCCAATAGTTCGTTCAATTCTGCAACTGCTCTCAACTGCCAGCAATTAAACCCCAGTTGCTCTCTGTGTACACACAGTGCACACACTGTGTACACATCTTCCTTCTGAGACAGACACACCAAACATGAGACAAGTTATTTTTAGTCCCTAATTTGTTCCTCAAGTACATCTCTTACTATTGTCCCCTCGAGTAGTTTTGGGAGTAAATTATTTTGCTTCTTCCAAGGATAAGCACATGCTTAAAGGCACTTTTTTCCCTAAAGGTCTGAGTAAGAAGGAACCCATGGTTCAACTGTTTGTTACTGTTTTCTTCAGAATTTTAGGGCTTCTTTTCACAAATAAATTTCTTATTAATTACAAATTATTATAGAATAAAACAGACAATCACATCAGTAATACTGCTGTGAAAATAATGGAGCAAAGGAGAGAACTTCAAAGTCAGGCAAGAGAATGGATGTAGCCTTGGGAACAGCACCACATCTGTGGCAATAAAGCCACAATGACAAACAGGGATAAAACCCCAGATTTTTAATTGATTTATTTTTTCTCTACATCTCATGCTGTCTCCTGGAGTAAGTTCAGTCAGAATCAAATAAAGATGCAATCAGAGCAGATGTTTTAAGTATTTAGGTATTATTATCACATACATCAACAAGAATGTTTCAGTTGCACTGAAATGTTAATAACCCTGGAAACACCAAAGACAACAATGGGGTTTTTTACATATAACATGTATTTAACATATATATTAAAAATGTACATTACACACATGCATATATAGATATATTTCTGTAAATTGGTTTAGCTGGGGTAGAGTTAATTTTCTTTATCATAGGATGTAGACTGCCATTTTAGATTTGTGATGCAAATGATGTTGCTAACAAATACATATATATACACACACACAAATAGCATATTACTATTTGCTACAAATCACCACAAAGTTATGGATTCACTTCCTGAAATTAGGAAGTTTCAAGGTTAATTGCACAGTTTAAAAATTAATTTTAATGAAAGTGGATAACTACTGCAGTAAGATTGAAAACCACCAAATATATACAAAGGAAAACAAAACAATGCATTCAAAGAAAAATGAAGCCGATGACATTCACATCTATATTGCGTGGTTATAGAGAGAAAAAAGTATTTCTTTTCTAGGCTGATGACCTCAATGATCTTAAATTATTCTGGAAAGATGAAATTAGAATCTTTTTACCTTGCCACAGTGAAACTGTCAGGAGGCAAAAGCCGAGCAAGCTGAATAAAGATGTGATTAAGAGAAGCACAGAATCCACACCACTGTGCGTAATACAGCAGCAAGACATTCTGGAAAATGAAATGGAGAAGAGTTGGATTATCTGTTGGAGGTAATCTGCAGAAAGCAGGACTACCTTTCACACCATCTAGCATGGGAACTGTTGAAATGTGAAAGCAATTTTTTCCTAATAAACTTTATTGTAAGTTATTCACTGCTGCTCTCTGACTACTGAGTTAACACACAAAAATTATTGGGGAATTCTCTTTCCATAAAGTCAAAATGAAAAGATTTAGTTTAGGATCATTCCCTTTAAGTGAAAATGCACCAAACTTTACTACACTTCCCAAGATTCTTTTGCAATCTTAAATTCTATATATCTAACACTGACTGTACACTTCATATGGAGGGAAAAATAATGTCCAGACTTCTGCTTTCTGCCTCTAACAGGCAAAGCAGGGCTGGGGCTGCTGGAAACCAACTGGAGATGCAGACATTCACTGCAGACTGTGACAATGGATTTTCCTTACTAGCACGTGTTTTACAAAATCAAGGCAATTTAACTGTACTCAGGATGACATCTGTTCTCATGGCATGCAATTGGAAAGCTTTTGTATTCTTAGCAACCACTGTATTTTATATTATAAGTAAGAAAAGCATGTCAATATTAAACATGCCCTCGTTAAAATCCATCCCTGGTTGCAGAAGCTGCAGGGTGACTGGGGTACCTTGGCACTCAGGAACACAGTCTGCTGGAAGGTGCTCGTGGTCACTTCAGTCACCACATGCTCCTCATGGAAATGGACTGAAGGGTCATCAACCAGATGCCTTTTCAAGGGACTGTAGAGAATGCTGAAATTTTTAATGAAGTTCTCTGAAATGAAATTGATGCATATCAAAGTTATTACGGTTTTGCAGAGGTGATTTTGGCACTTTTTGCTTTAGAACTCAGACGAACTTACAGAGAAAATACAGACTGAAATCTGGTTTCATGTCGTTAATTTCTGACAGTTTGGTATCAACTCTTGAGTAACCATAACTGATGTGAAAACAGGATAAAGCTTCACTGTTTGTTTTTTACTTTGCTCATTACAATCTTGTCACACTGGATTTTAATCTTGTGTCAATGTGCCACAATATTCTGTTCTCCTAAACACACCCCTGCTAAATCATAAACAGTAATCTCTCCATTTTTTAACTTCTACACATATTGAAAGGCTCCACTTAGTTCCACATTTATTTGCATTTTTTATTCCATTTTTAATTACTTTCTCTGTTATTCTTTTCTTTTGACCTTTAAACATCTGCTATTTCCATGCCAATATCACCCATCAACCACCTTCCTCTTTGTTCTACTTCCTCCTTAATTTTAAGATATTTAGCAAGTAGCTGGCCACGGGTAAAACCTTAAAATAAGCTCCAAAGCCCTCAATTACCTTCAGCTACACTACTCTGAGCCTGAACTACATTCTTGAAATTGCTGCAAGGCATCAGCAATATCCTTCTTTTCAACATGGATACAGAAGTATTATTCTGTGCATTAAGAAACAAGCATATTTAATAATCAAGAAAAAAGGTAAAATATGAAAAACATTAAAAAGAATTGTTTTATCAAATAGAAACAATTTTGTGCTTGTTATTTCCAGCATAAAAACTAGGCCCAAGTAAAACTGGCACTTTTGTACAGACAAACAAAATAGCAGATCAACAAGTTTATCTCTGAAATGCGATCAGCAGTACATTTAGTTCTTTATTTACTATTCAGCATTTCATTTAAGTCTCACACCAGTCCAAAAGAGGCTTTTTTTTCTTTTCAGATCTCCAGACTTGGAATATGTAAGCATGATAAAATAGTAATGAAAGAAAGGGGTTAATTAAAATAAGTATTCCTGAATTTCTAGAAACCATCTGTAAAGACTGAGATCTGACAAGGGTATTAAGCACCCATCATTATGTTTTGATATTAGGAAATATTAAGTCCAAATCTTAAGGAATTAAAACAAAATTAAAATAAAAAGCACAAAAATCCAATCATAAATCACAGACTCCTTGATAAAATGCATAGAAGCAAAAGTTTTCTGGATGTTCAAATGATGGAATAGAAATGTACTGAATATTTCTCTGCAGAGAAACCCTCATCACGCTCAGGAAATCCTGTGACCTAAAAAATGTTTGAGACAGAAAGTACTGGGAGCATAAAGGGGAAGGAAATTTCTATGTCCTCATTCTGATCTTAATATTTCCTAAGCATCCTTTTACGGTCACTGAGGTTTTTGTTTGTTTTTGTTTGTTTTTGCAGAGTCTTTTCCTGGGCTGGGATAGACAGGATACAGGGCTGCATGTGATCCTTAATAAGAATATGGCCATTTATTCTATGTTGTCCATCTTTTTGTACTTAGATTTATGGCAAAAAGGAAATGTAATTGGTGCTATAAGAATTATAGTGATATATGTTCTTGAGCAATTTATTTTAATAGCTGAATTTTCTTCCATGTTTACTTACATAGCCAACATTAGGAAACTCAGTATTTTCTGAAGGTACACTCAGTTTTGCACATCAGCATGACAGGCAAATGCACACAGTTAGGAATGTTTTGTCTAATTCACAAACTTGCAAATAAATCAGAACTGCAATCCTTGAGTTGTTTTGTCAGGTTTGTTTTTGCTTTGTTTGTTTTTCTGGGTTTTTTTTCCCTCCTCCAATTCAGACAGGAAATAACAATAATTGGCAGATTTGGCCACAACCACTTCAGAGCTCTACCTTGCTACCTTGAAAACAGACACACTTTTCAACATAAATTTAAAGCAATTTAAGTTGGTTTCAGAGGACAAGTGGATGGGGAAGTCTCTGCTGCTAAGTGGTCAGTATCTCCCAAAATTCTGTGATATTTTAGAACAGCTGAGCAAACACCAACACCACCATTAATAAACAAGCATCTTCTGTAATCAGTTATTTTAGATGAACAGAGATTTTTTCCACACACAAGTTAATTTAGATTTTACCAGTTCCACCAATGCATGCAGTCAAGAATCACACATTTTAAGGTTCAATTCTTATAAAGCAAATTACTTATGGTATAAGGAACTTAGCTCTTATGTCACCTAGAATATGAATCTATTCTAGCCAACAGAATCATTCATAAATGCTTAGTTAACTACTAAATAGAATAGAATAAATTACAATTCACAGTGTTAACTTCACAAAGTAGTCTCACTTTTACAATGGCATTAAATTTTCCATTCCTGCTTGGAAACACAATTTTCTGAATGCAAGCATTTGTATAGTGAATACTGTACCTAGGGTAGGTCCAACAAGGGACTGATTCTGGTCCAGAACATAGTGCACTTCTTCTTTCAGGTCAACAATGGCAGCAAATTCCTTAAGATGAGTAGATCTTGATGCTCCTAGTCTCTCTGCATATATCCAAAAAAGATTTGAATCCAGTAGATAGAGATTCAAGGTTTTGTTGGTCCTGCAGCTCAGACCAGTAATGTTCATGCTACTAATATTAAGGTCAGGAATAAAACAATTCCTATCCTCAATGTGAGGAATAGAAAATTGAGTGTTATCTTTCTTCCCATGGGAAGAAAATGCTACTTTGGGGGTCTCAAAGATGGTCTTCTCAGAACTCATGAGACTTAAAAAATGCCTGTTTACTGTCCTGCAACATGCAGTGTAATAGCTAAAGGGACTATAGAAACTTAAGAAATTGCTGCATTCTATGGTATTTGATATTACTTGGAAAAAAGTATGTTCCTGGAGGTAGAAAGAGTCCAAAGCTGCTTCTATCTCTAAAAAGTTACAGTGTGGCACGTGGACTTTATTTGGTTTGACACCAAGAGTTTGGTTAACACAGAGCTCACAGACATTGTGGGTTCTGGAGATGGAGTGCCACTGTGGAAGCACCACCGTGTTACAGCACGGGTACTTGGCTATGGGGAACGGGTCAGAGAACTCCAGCTGTGCATCTGTCACTGAGGAATCCAAAGCTGGTGAATCAGAGTCTCCTGCAGGCTGAAGGTCTGCCTCAGCTGCTTGGCTTTTATTACACTTGTGGTATTCCAAGGCCACTTTGGTAATCTTAAAAGAGAGAGAAAAAAAATCAAGATTAACTGTACATAGTTCACCCAAATGCAGTTATCTTTTGCAGGTTTAACAACATTATATGCAATGAGAGATGGAACTTCAGAAACACTAAGCTGACTAATCTTTGCTCTTTCAAAAAATTACAGGGGGCTCTGACTTAACAACAAAGTTGAATTTTCATATATTTCAGCATATAAATATGAATATATAGAACAACAAAGTAAATTTAAAATATTATTCAGTTCATCACACTGATTGCAAAGTCCTCCATGCAACAGATTTACTACAGTGCAATAACACTACATGTTATGGCTAAACCCCACTACACAAAGCATTACTAAGTAGAGGTTCCTGAATTTCATTCATTTTCCAACAGGAGGAGAAAATACATGAAAGCATTCCCATATGAAAAGGGAATAGAGATTTCTTCTGGCACAGGTGGTAAATGGATTTTGTAACAATCACTGAGAGTGTTGAAGCAATGTTTGTATTCTCCCAACCACGGGCAGATAGTTGTAATACTCCAAGTGTATTCTGTACATTGTAACTTACTGGGAGAAGAAAGAAAATAAGTAAAAAACCAACCTGTCCCTCCATGCAAACACTTCTGTACTACATCACCAGTTTGCTTTTCATAACCAAGGGTAAACAAGCAGAGAAAAAGGGACATGTATGGACCATATAAGGAATTCCCTTTCTGGGAGACAAGTAACAGAACACGCAAGGAAGAAAAATGAGAGAGGAAGTTTGCTATCATTCTTATTAGCACACTAAACAAAATACAGAGCATCACATGCTGCTTACAGGAGAACAATTTGACAGAAACCATTTAAATTATCAAAGGTATGTTGAAATGTCACATCCTGGAGGGCTGTGGTGTCACAGGACCCTCAGTATTAATGTGGTCTACAGCAATGCTTTGTTACAGTCTTCTAGAATTAGCTGTTAGAAATTTTCATCCTGGAAAAGCTTA